ATAGATAATAACAAAATTGCTGCAAGGCTCAATATATAGTTGGGACTGAGGTGGGGAAATCAGAATGTGCTAATTATCTCATCTTTCATAATATGCAGTGAGGAGTCCATTTCTTTTTGTGGATTTGATACATTGAGAAGATTACTATTCTGAAAACAAACTTTGCATATCTTTGAGATATACAACTTAATTTAGAAGGAAGAAAGGTAGCTGCAGAAAAGAAACCTTTGAATAAAAGATAGAAAACAAAGACATTAACAAAGAATAGAGTAAGAATTAAAACGAGAGTCAGACCTATGTCTTTCCCACGTGCAGGAACTCATCTGGTGTTGGATTCAAAATGAAATGCATATATTTCACTAAATAAAATGATATGCTTACAGATAAAGTAATTCAGACAGTAAAATGATGGCCAAATATGTACCAAACAAATGCAAAGAACATGAAACTAAGAGTACATGAGTGCAAGACAAAAAATGGAACAGTTTGTCTTTATAAAAGTTTTATCAGAATTAAATGCATCGACCTCAAACCAAGCCTACTGCAAATGAGTTGTGTAGGACTCAGTGTAACCCTATATAGGTTGTGTGAGATTGTAAATCTTCATGGGAGCAGACAGCCTCATCATCATCCTCTAGAACAGTGGTTCTCAACCTTCCTAATGCTGCGACCTTTTAATAGTTTCTCATGTTGTGGTAACTCCCCAACCATAACATTATTGTCATTGCTACTTCATCACTAATTTTGCTATTGTTATGAATCGGGCGACTCTTGTGAAAGGGTCGTTTGATCCCCAAAGGGGTAGTGACCCACAGGTTGTGAACTGCTGTTCTGCAGCAACATGTGTATCTGAACAGCTGAAGTTGCAGTTAGACTCCCAATGCTTATCCCAAAGTGCCGCTCGTCAAATAGTTCTAAATGGCTTATAACCGAACAGTTGGGGTACCACCCTAGCTGCTTTTCCCTGCCCTTCTCCCAGGAGAAATTTCAGCTTTTAATTTTGTAACCTTTGGCATTGGTTTCCATATTTCTAAGTAATATGCAAATTGACATCTATTTCGTTACTCTACTATTGCTATTATGTTAGATGAGTACTTAATTCTCTTCTCCTCTGCTTTCTTGTCTCAATTCTCCCAATGATGTTGTGCTGTTGAGTCAACTCTTAAGTCATAGTGACCCTATAGGACAGCATAGAAATGCCCTATAGGTTTTCCTAAATCTTTATGGGAGCTGATTTTCAGGTCTTTGCTTCTGCAATGAGTGGCTGGTAGATTAGAACTACAGATCATTCCATTAGCAATGAATGCTTCACCGCTGCACCACCTAGACTCTTATTCTCCAAATAAAGATTTATTGTTACAGTTTTTAGTTAAATCTGTAATGAATGTTTACTTTATTATGCCTGAGGTAAGTCTCTCTTAGGAGAACTGATATCAGACTAGTCTCAAGGAATTGGGTATTGATGATTGTGTTAGTCCGGGTATACTGGAGAAACAAATCCATAGAAACTCATGTGTATGAGAGAACTTTATATAAAGGGTAATTGTACATTAAGAAAGCATCCCACCCCAGTCCAGATCAAGTCCATAAGTCCGATATTAGCCCATATGATTGACACCAGTCTATAAAGCTCTCTTCAGACTCACGAAACACAGGCAATGATGCTGAATGCAGGAAGATCACAGCCCAGTGGGTGGGAAGTCTTGTAGAACCAGTGGCATTGTAAACATCTCAGCTCCTAATTTTCCCCTCTCCCTTCCCCACCCATCCTCCCTCATGACCCTTGATAATTTATAAATTATTATTATTTTTTCATGTCTTACACTGACTGATGTTTCCCTTCACCCACTTTTCTGTTGTCCATCCCCCTGGGAGGGGGTTATAGGTAGATCATTGTGATTTGGTTCCCCTTCCTCCCCCCACCTTCCCCTTCCTCCCCTTGTATGGCTACTCTCATTGGTCCTGAGGGTGTTGTCTGTCCTGGAGTCCCTGTGTTTCCAGCTCTTATCTGTACCCGTATACATGCTCTGGTCTAGTCGGATTTGTAAGGTAGAATTGGGGTCATGATAGTGTGTGGGGAGGAAGCATCAAAGAACTAGAGGGAAATTGTGTGTTTCATTGTTGCTACACTGCACCGTGACTGGCTCGTCTCCTCCCTGCGACCCTTCTGTAAGGGAGGACACATTCCCTTCTGTAGATCCGTTTTTCTATCTGAGTGAGTTTGGTTTCTAGACTGCCACATACCTGTTTCCTTGTTTTTGATCCTGGATTGGTTCTCTGTTTTCTGGATCTCATGCCATCCTGGTGTTTGGTTAATGTCTTGTGTTGATGGCACACGTCCTGTAGCAGGTGTTGTACTTAAGTTAAACAGATAATTCAGTGTATGAGCCCATCAAAGGTAATCTTGTTGATTACTAAGTAATATAAAAGTGATCTTGTTGATGACTTTTGACCTGCCAGCCTCCTGAGTCTCTGTGGACCCCTGGACTGGTTGCCTGGTACATCTCTGTCATCCTGGGAACTCCTTTCACCATCATTCTGAAGTTAGAGTAGGAAAGGAGTGACCCTGTGTCGACAGGATCTTTATACTTTAAAGGATCAGTAAATAAAAAAATCAAAGCTGTCAAACTGCTGCAGCCATAGTGTCAGTCCATCTTGTTGAGGGTATTCCTCGTGTTTGTGCACCCTCTCCTTTCCCGCGTCTGATGGCTTTCCTCCAGGGACTAGCCTCGTCTAGTTACATGTCCAACTATGCAAGACAGAGACTCATACTTCTCACTTGTAAGGCATATTCTAGCTGTGCTGTACTTTCTGAGACATTGGTTCTGGTAGTGCGTAGTGTATTCTTCACCAAATTCACAGTTCAAAGGCACCAATTCTCTGGTTTTCCTTATTCATTGTCCAGCTCTGAATATGTGAGGTTGTAGGAAATAACATGGGTCAGGCATGCCTTAGTCCCCAAAGTAGCTTTTTTTTTTTTTTTTGGCCCATTAACACTTTAAAGAGGTCCTTTACAGCAAAATTGCCCAATAGAATATGCCATTTGATTTCTTGACTGCTGCTTTGGTATGTGTGTGATTGTAGGTCTAAGTAAATGAAATCATTGACAACTTCAATATTATCATTATTTGTTATGATGCTGTGTATTGGTCAAGTTGTGAGGATTTTTGTTTTCTTTCCATTAAGTACGGAGTAGCTCAGGAAAATTTGAAGATATTAAAAAAAATCCTTAATTTCTTAAAATTTGGAAGATACTACCACATTAAAAAAATTAGCATTAGGCATCTTGAAATGATTTGTAAAATAGATATTTGCAAAATAGAATAAAATACAGTTATTATCAACACTACTAAGAAGTCATTATTATAAGTTTTATTTCAGGATATGACTCCGATATCCATATACTTTCTTTTTTTTTTTTAACATTTTATTAGGGGCTCATACAACTGTTATCCCAATCCATACACACATCAATTGTGTAAAGCGCATTTGTACATCGTTTCTCAAAACATTTTCTCTCCATTTAAACCCCCGACATTAGGTCCTCATTTTTCCCCTCCCTCCCCGCTCCCCCCTCCTGCATGAGCCCTTGATAGTTTATAAATGGGTATTTTGTCATATCTTGCCCTGTCCGACTTCTCCCTTCATCCACTTTTCGGTTGTCTGTCCCCCAGGGAGGAGGTCACACACAGTTCCATGTAATCGGTTCCCTCTTTCCTACCCATTCTCCCTTTACCCTCCCTGTTTTGCCACTCACACCACTGGTCCTATAGGGCTCATCCGTCCTGGATTCCCTGTATTTCCATATACTTTCTATTGCTATTAATTTCAGTAGTCTTAATAAGAAAACAAGAGCCGATAACTGTTTTTAACTTATCTCTTGCTTTTTAACCTTTCATTTATAATATACCGCACTTTTTTTGTTTTTTTAAAGTTTAGGAGATTATCTGTTTTGGGAGGAGATAGTATTTTGGCATTTCTTTCAGTTAAGAATTTTGGAGTCTATTAAACAGAGTATTTTCACAGAAAATGGGCTTATTCTGAAATGATATGATAAAGAGATGCTCTTGTCTGCTGCTGCTTAGAAGATGGCAGTAACAGTTTCTAGACATATGCCCATGACATTTTGATCAAAATAGAATACTTTTCTAACCTAACGAAAACTCAGAAAGTTTGGAAGTAAGCGCACTCCTGTGAGAATCAGCACTCAAATTGGAGCCTGTGTATGTAGACTTGGTTTCTTATTCTATAATTCACTAGCTGTTTGGCCTTGGGCAGCTTAATTAACTTCTTAGTACCTCATTTGCAAAGAGGGATAGTATCTATCCTATTCTTACAGTATTTTTTCAATGAAAAGAATGTAAATGCGTTTTTAAGATTAATAGAAATACACAGTTAATATATATAGCATACTATGTGGCATATGTGTTCAATTATTTTTTCCAATACAAACAAACAGGGTGCCTTTATGTTTTAAAATGCTTTTTTAATTGAATCTTGATAAACACAAATTTTATTCAATCCAAGAAAATATTCTGAGACTTGGTATTTTAGGACTTGGAGAGTTTATAATAGATTATACACTACTCCTCACTTATTGATTATATTATCTGACATTTCACATTCATGACAATGGTGAAAAATTTATCCAATTATTTTTCATATTAAAGATGTATGCCTGGTACTAGTGAATGTTAAGGTAATCATGCCAGAGTAATTCTTGGCCTTGATGGTTCAGATTATGTCAACTTGGCTGGGTCATGCTTCTCTGTGGTTTGACAGTATGTAATGATTGAATTTGGCAGTTATGGAACGATGCAGTCATTCTCCATTTCGTGAATGGATGTGGTCATCCTTCATTTTTGCATTATGCCAATTTTCACATAACAACCTAGTCTTTGATACCAGAATGTGTCAGTAAATGAGGAGTAGGCGTTATTAATGGAATACAATGAAAAGTATTACTACCTAAACATATGTTAATGACTTTGTGCTTTTAGGTATACCAAACTTGGCTACGCAGGCAACACTGAACCACAGTTCATTATACCTTCATGTAAGTAAAGCTTTATCTCTGGCTTACAGTGGATGGCTTCTCAAGATTGTACTAAGCATTTTCATTTATCTGCACTTTCTTTTAGAAGATTTATCCGAGTAATGGGAAGGGTTATTTATTTTTACATGAATTTTTGAATATTGCTGTAGAATGCTGCCTAGATATTTTAAAAAAGCAACATTGTAGTTCTTTGAGCTTTCTGATACAGCCCTTTGAAATTTTGCCTTGGATAATTGGCAAGAGTATTTTTTTTTTTCTTTTGATTTTATTTTTTTAGTGTGTGATAATTAAGTATTTTTCCATTTCAACAGTCTTCGTGTGTTCAGGTCAGTGACATTAATTATGTTCATATTGTTTAATTATCACCCTTAGTCATTCTCTGCAAGGGCCATTCATTCAATCTTAGCTAGCTAGAAAAGTGTCTCTGGTTCTTTAAAGATAGTTAATAATTTTCAGTAAGTATACTTCTTTTGAGGAGTCCTGGTGATGTAGTTGTTTCGTGTTGGGCTGCTAACTGCCAGGTTAACAGTTCAAAACCACCAACTGCTTCTTTGGAGAAATATGGGGCTTTCCAATCTCATAACAAGTTGGTCTCAGGAACTCACAGAGGTAGCTCTATCTTGTCCTACAGGGTTGCTATGAGTTGGCATCAGCTTAGTGGTAGTCAGGATATACTTCTTTAACCTAGCAGCTTCTGTGGGGTGGATAGTCATTAAACTGTACTGTTCATGGTACTAGAGGATGTTTTTCAATAGTCACAGAGATTTCATGATTTACTGTGTTGAGAAATGTTTTGTTTTTGTTTTAGTCAGCAAAGAATGGTAGACTTAAGAGAAGAAATATCCATACATTTTAACAAGAATTCATTGTGCTCCATTCTTTATTCCTGCAGATGTCAATTCAGTAGGGGTAGGATCAATTGTTTATGGGGAAGAATTATTTGAACTTATCTAAATTTTAGGTTTTTATTTGTAAAGCGTAATAAGGAGGTCTATCAATCAAGAGTGAAGTGGAAATCTGCCACTATAAATGTAACTATTGTAGGATAAGCTTTGATTTAGAAATTACACATTGCCATAGGAAAATGTTAAGAGCCTTGGTCGTGTAATGGTTATGCATTGGCTGAAGAATGAAACCAGCAGCCAGCCGCTCCAGGGGAGAAAGACAGGCTTTTAACTCCGGTAAAGAGCTAAAGGGGCAGTTCTACCCTGTCCTGTAGAATTTGTTATAAATCAGCATAGATTCGATGGCAGTGAGAGTTTTTATGGTTAAATGTTATAATAGTGCTAGGACCTGGTGATCAGTATAGACTACAGACAGTGTAGGGGAGCAAGAGGGAACAGAATCTTACATAATTTTTCATCAAGGAAAGACTAAAGTCAATTTCTCAGTAAATATGGGTATTCAAAGGCATAGAAAAAATGTATTCAATTCCCTGAACACATTTAATTCACCTTCTTCCAGTTCTGTGCTTGATGGTTATCTGCTGAGTTTGATTATTTTCTGTAGGTGGACACTTTCATACCAGGAATGAGATATCCTGCATATGATCTGTTTATATCTGTATTTAAAATTGATAGTTGGAATCCGGTAGGACTGTATCTTTAGTGGATTTTACCATCATGAGTGACCAGCCCTAGTGTCACAGTGGGTTAAGCAGTGGATTGCTAAATGCAGGGTCAACCCATCCAGCTGCTCCACGGGAGGAAGATGAGGCAGTCTGCTTCCACAATGATGTACAGCCTCAGAGACCTGATGTGTGAAGCAGATCTACTCTGTCCTGTAGGCTTGCTAGGAGTCAGAGTAACATTTGTTGATAGCGCGTTTGGTTTTAGTTGGTTAAGTGCAGTATTTCCAAAAGGCTGACCTTGCACCTTTTGCTTGAATGCACTACCATCTAAACCTGTCAGCAGCACTCAATTGGCTACTCCACTTAACCTCTCATCATTAATAAAGGAAATTTGAAGTCAGTTATGAGTAGGATTTCATTCACTGTCAAAAGTCAAGAGAACTTTCAAATTGGTGCTATCAGAACTCAGCAGTGGCAGAAGTTAGAGACATAATAAAAATGTCAAAAATGTAGGAGTAAAAGGACAGCTATATCGTTGGCTAAATTTGTTGCAAAAGACAGAAGGCCTAGGAGGAAAGCTTGTAAGATGACGGGGTAGCTAGAGGGCCTAGGTTTTTTCTGGTTACAGGGGCTCACTCATAAGCTGCAGTTCAGTTATGTACATATATGTGAAAGTGGGCCTTATGAAAAGAAAAGATGAAACTGGGTGTGTGTATGGTAAGTCCCGGAACAAGACTGTGGAACCTGAGGGGGTAAAAGCATTAGCTAAAAGCATAGCGGTGAGACACTGGGCATGTGCAAAGAAATAAGAGGAAATCTTTGTTGACAATCTTTTGGCGATTTCGGTTCTAAACAGAGATGTGGTTGGAAATGGGGGATAAGAGACAGCTGATAAGGGATTGTGAATTGTCATCTGAAGGAATTTAATTTTGTTTATGTAATCAGGAATTTTCAAGCAAATTTTGAGGGGCTTCAGGAACATACCCTGCTGGTTTATGGAGACTCTGGGCCTGACCCCTTTGCTATGAGGGCAGCCCTCTTTTTATCTGTTCTTGTTTTTGTTTGAGTTTCTGTGCAGAATTGAGTTGATGGTTTAAAGGAAATGCTCCCACCCCCACCCCTTTTAAAAGTTGTTGGAGCATATTGGGAGTTTTAAAAATACTTAAAGTGGAGTGCATGGTGATCCCATCAGCAGAAGGAGAACGTAGGAGGATCTGGGAGAAAGTAAGGGAGCAAGGAGGAGTGTGGAGAAAGTAAATACTTTTTAGCCCGTCAGTGTTTGAAGATTTTGGGTTATGTGATCCAATAGAAAATTGGATAAAAGATTCAATGCTCAAAGAGAAGATCTCAACTGGAAATATAAATTAAACCCTGTTAATCTTGTTTTTTTTTTTTTTTACTAAATAGAGTTATTTAAAATTTTGGAAAAAGCCACACAAGACATTGTAATAAAAACTCACATACCCACTCCCCAGAATGAACAGATGTTACCACCATCTAGTCCTAGTTGTGTAAAGTAACTAATTATTATGTACTGAATTTTGTTCCTCTCCTCCCCCAAAATGTGTTGGAAGTCTTTTTTTTAAATTTTTTTAATGTTAACCCCTATGCCTTGGATTGTTTGTGTATGTTAATGAGACAAGATCAGTGTATGGTATGTTTTGAGTTAATCATTTTTGAAACATAAAGGAGATTAAACAAGCAAGCAAAGGAGCAGAGGTAGAAGATTGATGCTAAAATACACGCAGATCTCCAAAGGAACCAGAAAACAAACTAAAGAAACAAGGACCTTCCACCAGAACCTACACAGAGAGAATGTGTCTTTTCTAGGGCAGGGGTGGGGGGAACATCAGGCCAATGGCCATTATAAGGCCTGCAAGCTAATCAATGTACCAGCTAACGTAACATACCTCACCAAAGAAGAAGCAGTTCTAGCCATCACATTAAAAAAATAAAAAAACCCAAACTTACCGATTGCCATCGAATTGATGCTGATTCATAGTAATCCTCTGTGGGTTTCTCAGACTGTTTACAGGAGTAGAAAGCCCACGCTTTCTCTTGAGGAACAGCTGGTGGATTCGAACTGCTGACCATTCAGATCACAGCCCAACACATAACCACTACACCACCCTGGCTCCTAGCCATCACATTAGGGATGAGTTAATGAACAGGCTAATGTTTTTGATAATTATGTGTGGCCCTTGAATGATGTTATAAATATCCAAATGGCCCTTGGCAGAAAAAAGATTTCCCATCCCTGCCTCTAGAGTCACGTTCTTGTTTCCATTATATGGGTTCAGGCTCAAGAACAGCAGAGCCATTTCACTAAGTCCAAGATCGAGGGGAAGAAAGGCTTATTAGAAGGGAGCACCAGTGGCGAGACCAACAACGCAGGCAGTCTTTATTGTGTCCTAAAGAATATACACCTTTTACTTGTTTTTGTTTTTTTTTACGTTGAAATGCCAGATTTTATTTTTTATAAGAAAGAGCTTTATATCAAGAAGAATATATACTTTTTACTTTGGAATCACACTCTGTGGGAGTCAACGTCTAGCTATTTTACATTAACTCAGGTTTCAGGATAACCATAGAAACAGCGGTTGATCATGAGCAAGCCAAAAAGGTGCATTAAAGTTTAGGCCCGTCTCAGGGTGTCTCTGTCACCTCAGCAGATAGCAGTACCTGTGGCAAATGAGAAGATGCTTCGAGTTACTTGGCTCTTCCAGGTGACATCACACTCCACCTCTTTGCTTCTGATTAGTATAACAAATCATTAAACTGACAAAGTGCAATTTCCCGGTAATGAATTTTTTGGGTTGATCATCATATTTTGATTTCTAATTTTATAGCATCGTGATCTGAAAAGATGGTTTGTGGTATATTGATGTTTTAGAATTTATTGATGCTTGCATTCTGATTATGATCAATTCTGTGTAGTGGAAAAAATGGATATTGAGATGTTGGGTGAAATGTTCTGTAAATATATGAGGTCAAGTTGATTAATTGTGTTGTTTGTTTCTTCTGTATCTTTGTTATTTTTTTTCTGGTTCACCTTTCTTTGCTTGAGAGTGATGTATTAAACTCTCTTAGTATTAGTGTATTATGAACTTAGTGGTTTGCCTTTACTGGTGATTATTCTTTTCCCCCAGGTTACTCTTAGGGTTCTTCATTTTTCATTGATGCTAGAACGTTTGACTATGAGGTGTTGTGATGATTTTCCTTTGGGGTCAATTATTTTTGGGGTTCTCAGAGTCATGGATACTTATTTTCTGTTCTGTCATAATGTAATGGAAGTTTTGTTTCAATATTTATTCAACTATATTCTCTGTGGTTATTTTTTCTTGTTTCTGTTCTAGGTGTTTATCAAACGTCTGTTGTTTCATCTGAAAAGGTCCCATATAATTCTTATGTTTTTGTCAGCTCTTTTGGT